CTGGACGGTTCCCAGAACTTGTTTCAGGCCGATATTTTGAACAGTACTGATCGGCCTGGACGATCTCACTATCGTCCCGGACGATCCTGGGAGGAAAATCCAAGTCAGAGAGGAACAGTAAGGGAACGAGGTCTCATAATGGCGATCTACCGGAAGCAATCTACATGCGACAACCGCAGGGTTTTGAAGATCCTCAGCTCCCAAATCACGTCTGTAAGCTAAACAAATCTCTGTACTGACTCAAACAGGCCCCTCGCTAGTGGTTTCAGAAATTCACAGACTTTCTTCTCTCGCGCGGATTCGGGTTCAGTCGTTCCGACCCCTCACTCCTTATTTTCTCACAAAAACAAATTCAAATTTTCATATTAATCTATGTTGATGACATTCTTGTCACAGGTAACAACAAGGCCAGCATACACAATCTCCTTCAGGATCTAAACACTCAATTTTCTCTAAAACAACTAGGCGAAATTGCCCTATTTCTTGGCATTCGTGTCTCCAAAACGACGGATGGCTACTTCCTTGATCAAGCACATTACGCTCAAAAGCTCATTCACGAAGCAGGTTTTGACCAATGCAAAACTTCTCCTACACCCATTACGCCTACAAACTCCCGGAACAATCCTGACGATCAACTGTTCGACGACCCGACACTCTATCGTCGTCTCGCCGGTGCCCTCAGTATTTGACGATCACTCGTCCAGATATTGCCTTCGCAACAAATCAGGTATGTCAACACATGCACCGACCTTCTCTGCAAGATTATCAAAGCCTCAAACGGATTCTCCGATACGTCAAGGGAACGAAACATCACAGACTACCCATCCAAGCTGGCGGAACTCAACTCTGTACCTATACAGATGCGGATTGGGCGTGCAATGCTACTGATCGGAAGTCCATTACCGGACATTGTACCTTAATGGGTCCAAATCTAATTTCGTGGACTGCGAAGAAACAAGTGACTGTAGCCAAGTCTTCGACGGAGGCAGAATATCGAGCTCTATCCGCTGCAACATCGGAAACACTCTGGCTGCGCCGCCTATCCGCCGAACTGCAACTCACTCAAATTGGACCCACGGTTATTCGCTGCGACAACATCTCCGCCTTGCGATTGCCAAGAACCCGATCTTCCATGCGAGGACCAAACACATTGAAATAGAATACCAGTTCATTCGGCAACACATTTCTGATGGCAATATCAGCATACATCACATCTCTTCTCATGATCAAGTTGCAAACATTCTGACTAAACTTTTCTCCAGTGCTCGCTATCATTTTCTTAGATCCAAATTAACCATTCAAGAACCTCATGATCAATTTGAGGGAGGATGATAGTAGTGTCTTATATTCTTAACCTGTACCGCTATTATTTACTTCTAAAACCTGTCTGTAGTTATATATATCTCTTCTGTATCTTGTAATGTTTAAGCTAAATAATACATTTCTCTTTCTCTTTGTTTCGGTCTCTGTCTCTCTTTTTGTCCTGCTTTCAACTTCTTTCAGGTAGGTGATCTCAAATGTTGCTTTCATTTAATAAATTGAAAACACTTGAATGTTATTTTGAGTATTTTTAAAATAATTTGTTTTAATTTTAAAAATAAATAAATAATTAAAAATAGAAATTAAATTTATTTATTGAAAATAAAAATAGGAAGTAGTCATTAGCACCTCTTGATGCAAATATGACCAACATGTAACCTTGAGTCTCAAATTGGACATTAGCATCTCCTAATGCATCAATTCTTGTATATTTCACTTAATTAATTATATGCTAGCTATACCCAAATACCCAATGTCAACTCCACCTATATTTGACTCTTTTAGTTCAATGAAAAGCATTACAAGTCGTCGCCGCCGTCACTACAACTAATAGCAATAACATCAAGTCTTTATCTCACTATGTGAGGTCGGCTACAATAACACAATCGTTATCAGGTGTCAAGCCTTATATGAGAAAAGTGAAGAGTTGTGTTAGATAGTCAATAGTCAGCGTAAAATTTGTCGAATAATCAAAACAAATAATAAAACAAAAAAACAATCTCGTTGAATCCAAATTTGTCTCAATAGCTTACTTTGACTCATCTATTTTATTAATTCCAAATTGAACTAAAAAAAAAAAAATCTATTTTATCTTTGGATCAATTCTTTAGTGTGGTGGTTTCTCTTACTTTAAAAAATTAATAAAGATCATAAATTGATAATCCATTTGGAGCTGAGCTAAATATTGAGTATAATAAAAATAAGATTAAGGGTTTATGTGATTAGGGCTTAGGTTAAGTCAAATTAAACAAGTAAAGCTAAGCTTTTAAGTGGGGTTAAGTAAAAATAAGATGATCTAAGATGATATAAGCTAAGAAAATTATTTAAATGATTTCAAGCTTAAGCTCAATTTATTTGAATAATCAAAACTTTTTTTTTAATGAATTGAGATAAACTATGGTGAAGGTTGACTTAGTTTTGCTTTGGTAAAACCCAAAGAATAAGATAATTAGATAAACAACTCATATCTTTTGCGCCGAATGAGGACGAAGTGCTTATTAATTGGCATTTCGCTCGTACTTAGAGTTGGAAAAAAATTATGCCACGATATTCTGATGCAAAAAAAATAAGTGAATGGACTCTGAGGCTCTTAAAGTTAGGCTGAGATTGGTGCAATTCAGGATATCATATATGATGTACTAATTTCTGCTCGAATTTTAGGATTTTGAACCTCATTTAGACAACTTTTTATCTTACGAGTATCAGCCTTCGACTTTCGGTCTGCATATCCCTATCCTATTAAGAATTCAACTTTCCTTTGAAGGGTTTTCTCTTATTTGTATCTTAATATTCAATCCCTCATTCAAATTAAATCCACCCCACAAAATTTAAGAAAATCAATATTTTTTTTATAAACAAGTATTTATAATAATATAAAAGTAAGTATAATTTCAAAATATTTTTTTAATCATTTAAAAAACTTTAATAAGACTAGCATGACAATCACATGATTCAACATATTCAGCTTTCTGTCGTGAAGGAACTGCTTTAACTTTACGTTTAGTTGTCATAATTTCAAAATACTGTGTAGTATTAATGTTCTTCTTTAAAAAAATGAAAAATTTTGATGATTGAGAGCTCTTTGGGACAATTTTTTCGCTATTTTATTTTTCGATCAGAGTAATTAAATTTCGTTTGATTATTATATTTCTGACTATTTTTCAAAAAAAAATTTGATAAAAAGCTGCTTTTTGTAATCACTTTTTTCATGAGTTCATGATAAACTTTATGAAATGTTACAACTATCATAATCAGATCTTAAATAATACCACTGCTGCATAGTCTATTATTGATCAAATCTATGGTGTTACCTAGAGGTGTCAATTTTGGGTCACGGGTCGAGTTCGGGTCAAAACCTGAAACTGACCCAATATATTCGGGTTTGGGTCAACTCGAACCGTTTTTACAAACGGTTCGGACTCGAACCCGACCAGACCCGTTTAGGGTTTAGGGACAATGCGACAGAGCCCATCATGTCATAACTACTTTATTATGGGCATCCAAATTTCTATAAAGCTAATTCAAATTTTAATTATATATTATATAAAATTTGTAAGAATTTTTCAACACAATAACATCAGTTTTTATAAAAACGAAAAGGGGAAAAAAAAAAAACTCCACTGAGATTAATTTATTGATCTAATTTGACCACTTCTCATGCTGTTTGAATCTCAAAATTGATGAAAATAACAAATAGTATATACAGCCCTTCTATAAAAAAGAAATTTAATATATTTTTAATGAGGCTAAACTGATTGAAACAATTCTTTAATTGCCTGATCAACTATGATTAAGAATTTAACCATATTTGAGTATTCCAACCTCAAAAAATTGTTTATCATCAGTAACTAAAGTTTTTTACATGATCTCCAAGCTTTCTTCACATTCAACTTTAAATTTCTTTCTTATAAAGAATAAGGACCTATTTTTAGTACTTGAGGAGTAACATTTTAATAAATTTAACTCAATTTTTATACCACTATGTGAGTCTTATTAAATCTTTTAATAATAAATCGTTCATTTAGCCATTTACCTGATCTTGAGTAGGATTGTCAATTCGGGTCAACGGGTAGGGTTCGGATCGAACCCGAAACTAAACCGACACTATTTGGGTCAACCCGAACCCGACACATTTTTAAAAACGGTTCAGGTTTCCGGACCCGAACCTGACCCGATTCGGGTCTAGGTCAACCCGAAGTTGACCTAAAATTGCTAGTTTTCGGGTCAAAAATCAGGCCATTCTTCGATTTTCTGGTCAAAATCAGGTAAAAAACGGGACAATCTCGGGTTTCCGGGTCAAATAGAAATTTTCGTGTCAATTTCGATTCATTTTCGGGTTACTGGGTCAACCCAAACCCGGCTCGATTTTTAAAACGGGTTGATTTGTTGAACCCGAACCCGATCTATTTCGGGTCCGGGTTGACCCTAACCCGAATTTTTCCTGTTCTGGTTCGGATTGTGTTTTAGGTCGTGTCAAAAATTGACACCCCTAATCTTAAGCTTAATGAATTCGTCTTATTAAACTGCTCGAATTGATAATAAACAAGAAAAAGTTTGAACAACACCCGCTCCTTTAATTAATACTTTTATATTTTTAACTTTACTTCAAATTGTATAATTTAGGCTTCGTTTGGAACAGCTTTCTTAACTTAAAACAACTTTCTAATACACAAATTAAAAAAATTATATTAAAAAATTGCTTTAAATAGTAAAAAAATTATCTCAAATGAAGCCATAAAAATTTGAACTTATATTGATCACTTTTGATGTCTTTGAATTTGTTCTATCAATACACTAAGACTTCGTTTGGAACATCTTTTTTGATATTTCTTAAAGCAACTTTCTAATAGAAAAATTAAAATTTTTGTATTAAAAAATTGCTTTAAAAAACAACATAAAAACGGTCACAAACGAACCCTAAATTTTACTACAATGTTGCTGAAATCAAAAGTGACTCTAAATTTAATTTTGAAAATTTCTAATACAAACAGTGCATCAAAAATACAATCAAGTGAAATTTCTAGAAACCACTCTTTTTTTCCACAATATTTATTTGTTACATGAAGTGAGGGGGGTCCAGCATATTTGCTGCCCCTCCTTTTCCTTCTTTCTACCTTTTCACTCAAACTCCCCCATTCTGAACCTGTATGCACCTATGTTAATCTGGCAGATTGGCTACGCTTCAGATCAGTCAGGTTCTTCTACCGTCTTCCAGTTCAGAATGCTAATCCAATGAAGAATCAAATGGATCAAGTTATAGTTGGTCAGGTCGGACCAACAAGCTGACCCTCCAACCGTGATGTAAATGCTCTGAGTTCTGCCACTTCGAACTATCTAAAACATTGTAAAACAGAACTCATTAGTATGCACAGATATAAAATGTTTTCGTTTGGGACGGCTTTCTTATTGCTGCTTAAAGCAGCTTCTTAATAAAAAATTAAATTTTTTTACTAAAAAACTGCTTTAAAAGACAGAAAGAAAACCGTCCCAAATAAATCCTAAATTATTATCAGAATAGTTTTCAAAATTATTGATTTGACTTTAGGATAAATGCAACATATAAAAATTTTATGTTGCATTCATCTCAAAATAAATTCAGCAAATTTATAAATATCCTGATAACAAATTCGATCACTTTATAGGTATCCACAAATGAGTTTGAGACTTCTCAATAGTAATAAAGCTCTTTGTTACCGCAATGGCTGTTAGAAAATTCTGAAATCTCACCCAAATAGAAGATGAAGCCTCAGCAGCTTTTCAGCAACAAACCAGTCTTCCGCTTCCTTTATTTACTCGCCATGAAGAATTAGAGGAGATCCATGAATCTTTTCATGGCAATATCAAACCACCTCTCTTCCTCACGCTCATTATAATTGAATACAGAGCTGCACAAGCTCAGGCCACACATTTGAATTCATTTGAAGCTTGAGGAACGGCTCCATCTCTCTTTCAAGTACTCCTCCAAGGACATGCTTGAGGTTGTGAAATCAAACGAATCGGTTTTGCTGCTCATGGAAAGTGCAACATCGTCATCCACGTCAAGAAAAGCTAAGTTAATGTGGGATTGGATGTTAAAATTCTTAATTGTTGCCTCATCCTCCATATCATCAAACAACATTGAAGTACCTAACCCCAAATTTTTCGCAGTTTCTTCATCACCTTTAATTAGCTTCAAAACCTACAAATTAGATTTAATCATGCCAAGGCCCTAGGGAACTTCTAAGGAATAAGAAGTTTAGATCTTAGGTTTCGTTTGGGAAGGCTTTCTAACTGCTTCTTAAAGCAGCTTTTAAGTAAAAATTAAAAATTTTGTGCTGCAAAGCTGCTTTAAGAAGCAGTAAGAAAGCTGTCCCAACCGAAGCCTTAGTATCTTACAAGCGCTATGCTAGGCCGAAATCCCGGTGCTTGTCTGATGCAAAGGGAAGCAGCAAGGCACATCCTTTCCATCTCATCTGCGTTGTAACTTTCACCCAAACATGGATCTAGCATTTGCTGAAGTTTCCAAGCGCGCAGTATAGGCTTTGCCTGCCATCAATATGATAGTAAATACTTGAGTTCGCAAGTAACCCTAAGGGAAATACTTGAGTTCGCAAACAAACCTAGCAATAGTCAGTAAAAACGGCAAGAAAGTTGCTGATTTGAGAGAGAAAACAGCAACAACAATGCAGGAATCTCAGGATATTGGAGAGTAATACAAGGAAAATTTCTTCTAGTCAATCCACGAACAAGGAAAACAATACAAGATACAAGTTTCTTCAATTCGAGAGGAAAAAACAACTATTCAATTCTCTAGCAAAGCCTAGAGCCCAAGACACAAACCCTAGATCACAAATCGCTTTCAAATTCAAGATAAAAATCTAATTCTAGCATAACCACTAATTAAAGCAAAAGGAGAAATACAAAATCCCTAAACAGCCTCTAATTCAAATTTCCCTCCTAAACACCCATTAAATTAATTGCTTGGGCTCACTAGGGCATCCGCCCATCTCCCTTGGTTCCGTCCCCATAGGCCGGCGGCTGTAGACCTAAACCGGTCCAGGTTGGACCGGTTCAACCGGCCCCTCCTGGGCCGGCCTAATACAATATTACATAAATGAATCCACATTTCAATATTTGTCATAAAATCAGTTGGCTGTGCAACAATTTACAATTCTGAAGACAACTGTCACAATGATATTATGCTACAATTTCATAATAAAACTATTGGTAAAATGCTTGACTTACCCACAGAACCAAGCTCTCCTCGCCCTTCGGACCATCAGTGCATACTGGCTTTCTTCCTGAGAGAAGCTCAAGAAGAACAACCCCGAAAGCATAGACATCAACCTTTTCATCTACTTCACCATAAGCAAAGCATTCAGGTGCAAGATACCTGCTAGGCCAGATCAATATTTGCTTTACAGAGATATAATAGACCTGAGATAGACTAAAGCTTCGTTTGGGATGACTTTTTTCCTGCTTCTAAAAGTGATTTTATAGTGCAAAAATTAAAAATTTTGTATTAAAAAGCTATTTTAAGAAGCAGTAAAAAAGCCATCCCAAACGAAGCCTAAAGTAAACAAAAAACTACATCAGATACCCAAATGTCCCTTCCAAATCACTCCTAGTAGTGTTCTTTCTGCAAGTTGATGCCAATCGAGCTAGTCCAAAATCAGATAGCTACAACACACAAGACATAAAAAGACTTCTTAGAAATGTGCAAAGAATGCAGAAGAGAAATCAAAGATAGTATCAAAATACCTGCGGCTCAAAATCATCAGATAAGAGGATATTTGAGGATTTCACATCACGGTGGATCACAGGTTGCAAGCTGCTGCTTTGATGCAAGTACTCCAATGCTTCTGCCACCCCAACTGCAATCTTATATCTTTCAGCCCAGCCAGGACTATTTTTTCCTCCATTGTTGCCTACAATTAAGAACTTAAATACATCAAACTATTATTTTGAAGCTGTGAAGACTGAGTTCCAAAAGAAGGTCAACCCATACCATGAAGATTGTCTTCTAAGCAACCCCTTGATAGGAAATCATAGACCAACACAAAACTCTTGTTCTCAAAGCAAAATCCAGTAAGGGAGATGATGTTCTTATGGTGCAATTTTGACATAATCTCAATTTCTGAAATGAAATTCTTCATCACATCATCTGAGGGTTCCAGTACTTTCACTGCAAGCTCTTTGTTATTAAAAAGGCGCCCTTTATAGACCCGGCTATTGCCTCCCTTACCAATGATATTCTCTGCAGTGATTTCAGACTACATATCAGATTAAGAAAAAGAACTTTTTCATATATCAAGTCACAAATAAAAATTGAACTAGAAAATCATAAGACAAACCAGGAGAGAAGTTCAATGTTGCCTGTTCGAGTTCCTTGAAGCTGAACAGCCTGCAGGCAGATGAATACTTCTCCTGAAGAGACAGCAATTCATTGGGCATATCCTTTGCTTCATCATCAACCTCAAAAGAGGGAATCAGAGATGTTACTCCATTACAACCGGCAACTTCATCAGACTTGGTCTGCTTGTGATCAGGATGAACAAGCGACGATATTGAATACCAACAAGGAAGCTGCATAGCCAATTGAACTGCAGAAGCCTTTTGCTTAACTTGCGAAGAATCCTTTTTATAGCTCAAAAAACATCGGCGAAATATAGACCATCCATGTCTTCTTTGAGACAATTCAGAAATCAGCATAGCTACACAACCCAAAGGTCTCTCATGGCCCTTCATTGGAATTTCATTAAAAGACCCCTCCCCAAGTTCAGATGAGGTCTGAAACATCGCGCTGGAAACAGGAGAGCACAGGGGTTCAGATAGAGAATCATGAGGGGCACAATTCTCATTCTTCGACAAATTGAATCTCAATGACAATTTAGCAGCATAGCTGTTGAGTCTGTCACAGCTCAATCTAGAGTTGGAAGCTGCTGGCAGGCAATGAAAGGAACGGCTTGCAAGCTCTGCATCCTTTCTAGCTTGCTTATTGATCTTACAAGGCCTCGCATAATATGTTCCAATGGAAAGGTCATCTATGCTTCTGTCTCCTGTCACCAAAATGAAATATTGAGTTCCTTTGTAGAACTGAAATAGGGAATTCTCACAAGGGATTCAGAGGAAAAGCAACCTGCCGCTTCTTCCTGGAAAATTATCTTCCCATTGTTCACTGCCAGCACCAAGCAACCACTAGAAAGTTTCTTCGAGCAGTATTTGGCAACGGAGATAGAAAAATAACTGTCGATTTCGATAGAGCATGTTAAATAAAACCGATCAAAGAGGAAGAGAACTAAAGAGAGAGAAATGGAAGCTAAGAGATTACCTTAACCCCTGGCTGGTTAACTTGGAAACCCCAACAATGAGTTTGGAGGCCGACGCCAAACTCGCCTCCTGAGCCAAAACCCTCCGAATAGAAGAACCTCGACCTATCTTTAGCTTGAGATCGATCTAAACAAAGATGAATAATGTATAAACTTTCTTATCCCGACATAGAAACGGATCTGAGTTAGAGATCAGTGAAACGTAACCAAACCTGCTTCAGGTTACAGAAAACCTCGTAGACGGCGATCATGGCGTTTAATGCGTTCACAATGGAGATCAAAGACGAGGGCTCACCATCAGAATCCGGCACCTCTACAACCCAAAATCCCAAACAAGATTAGATTTTTCCGGAACCCAGACCAAAACATATGAAAACCACTCAAATGTTTATCGCTTATTTATCGAATTACCAGCGGGGAGAACATGCAGCGCAATGACGCGATCACCAGCTTGAGCCACATTCACGAGAGACCATGTCAATAGCTCTCTGCTTCCGTCGTCCAACTTTACTCCGACCACCACCGTCGTCCCCTCCGCATTCTTCCTGTTCAGCTCTTTGGCATCTCTCGCCGATTCCTCCATCTGCAAGCTCATCTCCTTCCCTGCCTCGAGTTCTCTTCCTCGAATTCCTCACCGACCAAGGAGAGGTAACAGAGGAAGTGGAGAGCCCTACTTCTCTTCATTAATGGCGTTGTGCTCAATTTCATCATTGGATACGAAATTATCAAAATATATTCTTCCAAAAAAAAAATTAAAATATAATTTACGTTTTCTGCCGGAACGCACATCTTTGACTTATTATTATTTTTGATAATTATAAAAATTTAATTTGGCGATTAAAAATTGGAAAAAATATGCCAAATGTCAGATAGACCCCTCCACGGCTATTGCGGTCCGTCTGGCAACGGCAGCCATTTATTCTGTGAATTCGTTCAATGCCTTTCACGTGCTTAACTATTCTTTTTAATTTTGTTATTAAGGGTATAAATGAGTTAAGCTGATTCGCGAGCCATCTCGAATTCAATTAATTAATTAGCTCATAATTCAAGCTTATCGAGTTTCAAGCTCCAGCAAAATTTTGAATTTGTTAGATTATCGAGTTTGAGTTTGATCCAAATAATACTTAGCTTGATTACTCGTCAAGCCACTCGAAAGGCGAAAGGCTAATTGGAGAAGTGCATTTGCGCATGCAAACTGGCTAAATGTGGTATGTGAGATGACTAAGTGTGTGTGAGTTAGGATTGTCAAAATTGGGTCATGGGACGGGTTCGGGTCAAAGCTGAAGCTAACCTGGTACTATTCAACCCGACCCTTTTTTTTGCAAACTTGTTAATTTTTCGAATCCTAACCCGACCCAACCCGTTAGTCCGCCGCCGGCCCTATGTCCGACCGCTGCTTATTCAGCCTAATCCCGCCGCTGCTGGAAGCGATGCGACGCGAAATGACAACGGCAGGCGCAGGGCGACTCGGCAAGACGGCGACATCGAGCAGGCGACACGGTAGCGGGTGCTACAACGATGTGACACGGAAAGACAGTGGGCATGCAACATTGGTAGGCACGGGCAGGCGCAGTCAGACGTGAGTAGACGGATTTTTGTTGTGTCATTTCAGGTCATTCCGGGTCATTTTCGGGTTTCCAGGTCTACTAAGCCCTACCCAATTTTTTAAACAGGTCGATTTACTAAACCCAAACCCAACCCGTTTCACAAACGAGTTGACCCTAACTCGGAATTTTCGGGTCGGGTTCAAGTCTGATTTTTGGGTTGTGTCAAATATTGACACCCCTAGTGCCAGCGGCCGAAAGTGAACCGGGGAAGCTCGTGCAAACTGCAGAAGACTAATTGACCTTTGCATGTGTGAATCCTGTTCGCAAACTGACGTCTAGGAAATCAAACCACAAAATTGAGTCACTCGACGAGCTTGTTTTCAGTGGCACAAGTCGAGCTCAAGCTCTTCTTTTAAGCTTGACTCTAGTTTAAGCTCGGGATTTAGCTCGCGAGTCGAGCTCTCTACTTCGTAAGCTAATCAACAGTAATTATCAGTGTCTGCATTTCATGTTTGGGTTAATTAATGAGAACATTGTTAAACTCATTTATTAAGTTGATATAATTGATAGTTAATCAGAAAATTATCTGATCAAATAAGAGTTTTGATATAATTTCTGAGTAAAAACTTATAAATTTAAATTCAAACTATAGGAATTCTAATTTGAGCAATGCTCAAAGTCACAAAAAAAAAAAGTGTTTTGATTTAAATCAAAATGAGATCAAATCAAACAGTTAAAGCTTGGTTGGGACCTCACAAACTCTATTTGAGCAACTAAGGCTTCGTTTGGGATAACTTTAAATCACTATTTTATTCCTACTTTTAAGAGATTTCGTACCAAAAAACAGCTTTGAAAATAGTAAAAAAGTCGTCCCAAATAAAACCTAATTAATTTTAAATATTATATGTTTACAATCAAAATGAGCATCTCGACAAGAGCAATTTAAGGAGCCCTAGATCACCGAATTTTGAAGTTATTAGGGCACCTAAATTCCTAAAGAATTATTTATGATTTAGGAAATCAACATGACAATATGATAGATTGTTTGAGGATTTAGTTAAAGTTCTACAAAAAATTATAAATAAAAATCTATTCTCCACATAAAATGAACGTCATTTTGAAATTAGAGAAATCTTAGAGATCAAAAGAATTTCATAGCTTGTCAGCTAATCAATGACGACGTTCACCATTAATAAGTGTCCTCATCTGACTATTATCATTAGACCGTTGTTGCCTAATCATTATCGTTTATTATTATCTAATTATAATCATTTAATTATCATTATATGATCATCATCCTCTAATCACCACCAACAATTATTTAAAACATCATATTGAGAACATAACATGACGTGATAGGATTTAGGATGAAAGATGTTCTAATGAGATGTCCAATTACTTATATGTTATAATTTTTAGTTAAAAATAAATTTCTCAATTTTAATCCTTATTTTTATTCTTTATATAGTGTGATAAGCCAAGTCAAAAAAATATTCTCCATTGATATTCCTTGAATTGATAGTATTTGATTCCAAAAATTTATCTTAATAATGTAAGGAATCATTTTTCATGATTTTTGTAGACAGTGCCATTATATTAAAATTCATAACTTCAGATCAAATCAAATTCTTTGAATCTTGGGTGAATTTTGATGGAAGTGATTGGTTCCCTCTCACAATATGCACGTTTCTCAAAGCAATCCTAGGGAGGTCGGAGTGACCATAGTAGGCGACGGAGGTCGGGAGGACCGTAGTCGGCAGGAGACTGGGGTATGAAAGACCGTTGTCTGGTGATGGAGGTCGGAGTGACCATAGTAGGCGACGGAGGTCGGGAGGACAGTAGTCGGCAGAAGACCGGGGTCAGAAAGACCGTTGTATGTTGATGGAGGTCAGAAGGACCATAGTAGGCGACGGAGGTCGGGAAGACCGTAATCGGCAGGAGACCGGGGTCTGAATGTCGGGCCTTAAGCAGGACGTTGGGTCTTCAGCGAGACATAGGGACTGGACGTCGGGCCTTAAGCAGGACGTCGGGTCTTCAACAGGACGTAGGGACTGAACGTCGGACCTTAAGCAGGACGTCGGGTCTTCAGCAGGACGTAGGGACTGAACGTCGGACCTTAAGCAGGACGTCGGTTCTTCAGCAGGACGTAGGGACTGAACGTCAGACCTTAAGGTAGTGGTGCAATGAAACTCCGACGAGGCTTCGGTGGTGGTCCGGCGAGGTTCCTGCGGTGGTCCGGCTGTGGTACGGCGGGACTTCTGCGGTGGTCCGGCGGCCGTCGAGGAGGACCTTCCTCATTCTCTTCTTCCTTCTCTTCTCTTTTTATCTCTCTTGCTTGGATCCCCTCTCATGAGAAATGAGGGCTATATTTATAGATTTTCTAGAGTGGCATGGCCCGTAAATAAGCGTGAGATCAGGGGCGAATAGGGAGTGGTTGAATGGACGGCCGATATTGAATCCTACGATCGTGCACCGTTCATTGGTCATTTGAATATCTTAGTGATGTCGGAATTTGGTGATCTTGGGCTCGTTGGATTCGTCTCGTCGAGCCGTTCGATTCGAGTATAAGCTCGTCAAAATCGAAGACCGTTTGTTGTGTCATTTCGGGTCATTCCAGGTCATTTTCGGGTTTCCAGATCTACCAAACCCTACCCAATTTTTTAAACAGGTCGATTTACTAAACCCAAACCCAACCCGTTTCACAAACGAGTTGACCCTAACCCGGAATTTTCGGGTCAGGTTCGAGTCGGATTTTCGGGTTGTGTCAAATATTGACACCCCTAGTGCGAGCATCCGAAAGTGAACCGGGGAAGCGCGTGTAAACCGCAGAAGATGAACTGACCTTTGCATGTGTTAATCTTGTTCGTGAATTGGCATCTATGCAGTCAAACCACGAAATTGAGCCACTCAATAGCTTGTTTTCAGTGGCACAAGTCGAGCTCGAGCTCTCCTTTTGAGCTCGACTCGTGTTCAAGCTCGGGATTTGGCTCGCGAGTCGAGCTCTCAACTTCGTAAGCTAATCAACAGTAATTATCAGTGTCTGCATTTCCTGTTTGGGTTAATTAATGAGAACATTGTTAAACTCATTTATTAAGTTGATATAATTGATAATCATAAAATTATCTGATCAAATAAGAGTTTTGATATAATTTATGAGTAAAAAACTTATAAATTTAAATTCAAACTATTGGAATTCTAATTTGAGCAAAGCTCAAAGCCACAAAAAAAGTGTTTTTGATTTAAAACAAAATGAGATCAAATCAAACAATTAAAACATGGTTGGGAATTTACAGACTCTATTTCAACAGCTAAGGCTTCGTTTGAGACAACTTTAAACCACTGTTTTATTCATGCTTGTAAGAGATTTGTACCAAAAAACAACTTTATAAAGTAGCAAAAAGTGATCCCAAATAAAATCTAAATAATTTTTAAATATTATGTGTTTACAATCAAAATGAGGGTCTCGATGAGAGCAATTTAAGGAGCCCTAGATCACCCAATTTTGAAGTTATTAGGGCACCTAAATTCCGAAAGAATTATTTATGAATTAGGAAATCAACATGACCATCTGATAGATTGTTTGAGGATTTAGTTAAAATTCTACAAAAACTTATAAATAAAAGTCTATTCTCCACATAAAAAGAACGTCATTTTGAAATTAAAGAAAGGTTAGAGATTTAAAGAATTTCATAGCTTGTCAGCTAATCAATGACGACGTTCACCATTAATAAGTGTCCTCATCTGACTATTATCATTAGAACGTTGTTGCCTAATCATTACTGTTTATTATTATCTAATTATAATCATTTAATTATCATTATATGATCATCATCCTCTAATCACCAGCAACAATTATTTAAAACATCATATTGAGAACATGACATGACGTGATAGGATTTAGGATGAAAGATGTTCTAATGAAATGTCCAATTACTTATATGTTATAATTTTTAGTTAAAAATAAATTTCTCAATTTTAATCCTTATTTTTATTCTTTATATAGTGTGATAAGCCAAGTCAAAAAAATATTCTCCATTGATATTCCTTGAATTGATAGCATTTGATTCCAAAAATTTATGTTAATAATGTAAGGAATCATTTATCATGATTTTTGTAGACAGTGCCATTATATTAAAATTCATAAACTTCAGATCAAATCAAATTCTTTGAATCT